TCTCTTATACCACACTCAACAGCCCTTGGTGATACTCTCCACCTACGTCAATGCACCTTCTATCCTGGTACTATATATAAGCACCTCATTCAGATAATTTTATCACTTTTTCGAGACTGATACCATCCCAGTCTGTAACACCAGCTCTTAGTGGGAAGGAAGGGTGGGAGAGTTTCAGAGGAGGCAAGTATTATTGGAAATACATTTTAAATTTAGGAAAATGTTAACTTCCAAAACATACATATAGCTAGAATCCCACATTGAGAGCAGTATCCATACAGAAAGCATCTGCATATATCAAGAGTGCACCAAGATAAGAGTGGTACCTGAGTGGGAGAACTACATCCAGAATAGGTGTGCTCTTCACTCTTAACTTAGTTTCTGTATCAAGAGTGGAATAGTACATAAGTAATCATCACTATAGGCCAGCCCCAACGATATAGCTGAGGTTCCACAACTCTGGGTTGGAATTAAGGAGTCTCGGTTGATATATCCCACATTGATAGCTAGGGCAATTGGACTCCAAGTTATATATAGATATACTTTTGATTGGATCCCAACCTGTAGCCATAGAGTGATGCGTTCCGAACCACCAGAATAACGACAAGAAAGCAAGCAACACTGGAGCAAATAAACTTTTTTCTCCACCTGAAGAAGCCCGAAAGGCAACACCCCAGGCTTGGAATGATGGGATCGTGTATGCCTTGTTCAACCAAAGAAACAGAACTCATCCAGTCTGGAATTATTAACATTCATCCTCACTCCCCAACCTAGTGGGCAAGGAGCCTTTCACTTCTCCATGGAATTATGGAGAGGATGTGGAACACTATGCTCAACCAAGGACCCAGGATGGGATCACTCCGCATTTGGAATTATGAGGAGATAGTGGACCTCCTTCCATGAACAATATAATAAACCAATATTGATCACAAGAAGGGCCATGCACGCCCCCAACTGAATAGCCGAGCATCAAATCTGAACCAGTATTATGAGTAGGCTACCATGTAGGCTGGTGCCGCTCCTACCGATATCTGGATAAAACATCCAGGAACCCAGGTAGTAGGGCTCCTAACTTTGCCCTCTTCTCTGAAAGTGAAGGAATTCACTCTTACACTCCAGAGGAAAAGTCTCTGTCCACCATCCTAGTGACTGGAACAAGGTGTGGTAAGAACTCCCTATTCTCAACCCAACCAGATGGTAGAGCACCAAACCTGAACTAATATTACAAGTAGGTTCCAATGTAGGCTGGTGCCTCACTTGTCAACATCTGGGAAAAACATCCAAGGACTTAGGTAGGAGAACCCCAAACTTTGCCCTCTTCTCCAAGAGTGGAGGAAGTCATTCAAACACCCTGGAGGAGAAGCCTCTGTCCACCACCCCAGTAACTGGAAACTGGGTGTGGTAAGGACTCCCTAGCTCCACTAGTAGAATCTGGGGGTAATGCGCATTGGGAAGTCCTGACGAAAAGTGCTCTGAAAACAGTGTAATAGGTGAACCAAGTTCCATAAATTTTAAAAAGCAAACCGACCTTGGTTTATTCAATCCCACGATCAGCAGGAACAGGCAGGATCCCCTTTAGCTTTACTCATGATAGTCCATGAGTGGCAGTTCATCATAAAATAATAATACCATCTGGTGAGCTCCTAGACAGTCTTATGGAACACCTCATTTTTACAGAGCCTGTTGTGACCAGTAGAAAGTATAGTTAAACTGGTTGCTAGTGCAGAATTGGATGAATAAAAGCACACCTGTCTGGGCAACACTTGCCCACTTGCCACAGATTGGGATCAAGTGATAAAGGAAGTAAGGGACCCAGGAAAGTAAAGAGATAAAAGGAAGGGAGAAAAAATACACACCCCTCCTTATAATCTACGAGATGTGGTCAAAATGGCCACAGGGATTAGGCAAAAACCCTCAGAAGAAACCACCAGATTGTGTAAAAAATGCGAGAGAAAAGTATTGGGACAAGTACACATACCAGCATACAAAATGTCCTCCAGTGGGCAATTGAATCGAGCAAATAAAGACAGAAATGTGACGAATCTGATGAGATGTGACTTGCAGACGTTTCCTAGCCTGCAAAGAAAGTCCAGAATAAGCAATATATATCAGTTTGCAAAGCCACCTCATCAAAGTAATCAGGACATAACAAATGATAAGGTTCGATCGGTTGTTGAGGTGAGAAATAGCTGGCAAATGAATTGGTGAAAAGGATTTATCCCCTTCCATGGCTGCTAGAGTCTTAGGAAGAAAAGATCTATCAGGGTATAGCAGGACATAAGTGGAGTGATCAAGAGTCCTTTGCACATGTAGTGCAAACAACTCCGACTTATGATGTTCACATGCCAGCAGTAACAAAAAATACATTTTAAGAGAAAGGTGATACATGGTACACGAGGCTAAAGGCTCGAATGGATGTCAAGACAAAGCATGTAATATCACCTTAATATTCCAGTAAGGTAATGGTAAAGGCGTTTGGGATGAAGAACTCTTATTATTTGAGAAGGCCAGATAGCACAGTGGATGAAAATACTTTTTGATGTTCAGAATATTGAGAAGTAGTCGATAAATCTGCCTTATATAAAGTGACAGTAGACAAAGCTAGACCTTTGTCACAAGGCCAGGTCAAAAAACGAGATATGGTGGGCACACTTGGGCAAAGTGGGTTCAATTTCCTCGTGGGACATCAATGGCAATAAGTATGCCATTTTTGTTGATAAATGGCTATTGTGGGTCTTTGGATAGATTGAGACAAATACAAGGCAACTTTAGAAGCTAAACCCCGATGCCATGCGAAGGATTGCATAACTTCCATACATAAAGTTTGAGCTTGAGAATGTCTGGGTGTAGAATGTCAGATTGGGAATGCCTCAACAGAGGTGGACACTCTTGAAGATACTGTAGAAAGGAAACCATGGTTGGTCCAGCCAAACTAGGGCTACCAACAGTACTCAACAAGTATTGGATCGAATCATAGCCAGAACTCTGGGTAACAAACAAATTGGGGGAAAGGTATAGAGGTGCAATCCTGTCCAATCTTGACTGAATGCATCTATCGCCAAAGCCCAAGGATGAAATACCAGGGAACAAAATACCTGTAGTTGAGAGTTCCAATGATTGGTAAAAAAATTAGACCAATGCTTATATGGGCAATGTTAAAATCCTGGCAGTTGAGTAATAGCTGTAAGTGGCAGCAGAGGTAAGTATGTGGTGGAACAGATATTATGCTGATCAGTTCTATGAATCATAAACTGCAATTAAACTCTGTCAGTGAAGCAATATATGATCTTTATTTAGCCATGAAATCACAACAAATTTAGTGACTGCTGTACGATTATTCAACCTAATAAACCCTAAAAATTTCAGATACGTTTTTTGTTTCTTAATTTAATATTTCCTTTAAGAAATTGAACTTGTAAGCTTTTTAGTAATTGTATTGAAATTACAAAAACGAAATACCAATTTTTGAAAGACCTACTCAACTTTAGTTTTCTTTATTTTTCATGGAGGACTTGATGCATAATTATTTATAGGTCCTATATAGTCAAATGCATTAAAGTTCGTTATCAAATGGCTTAATGGAAATGTTAAAATAAATGTAACCATTTCATTTTACATACTTTTCAAAACGTTGTATATTCACACTTGAAATGCTGATTTTTTTAAGACACAGGAACTTCATATTTCTAATTAGACTTTTCTTATGTCTAGTTCTACTAACCTACACATCCAACTGTTTGATTGTATGGGTCACCATTAAAACCTTCGATGCAGGTACATACAGGATGGTGATTAGTAGAGATGCACTGAGCATTTTGTCCACACACAGTTTCTGCACAGGCATCTGCAAAATATTTCATGAGTTCATGTTTGTAAGGTTTAAAATGTGTAACTCTGGTGAAAAAATTTAAGATGACCAGTAACAAATTCATTCTTCCTTTATTAGTTTCCAGTTATGAATTCCCTTTTATCAGTTCAGTGTAGCCAATGATGTAAGCTTCTTTAAATCTCTCAACACAGGCTCAATCAACTTGACCAACCATGTGACCGCTTTGTACTCATTTAAATTATTTATAGATTTAATACTTCTTACTTTCAATACAGTGTATATCTTCACAAAATTTGGCAGTCTTTCAGTTAACATTATAAGCCTTTCACATGCAAAAAAATCATAAAGTAAAATAAAGATTTGTCCATGAATGTATTGAGCATTTGTTTTGAATAGCTGTGTGCTTTTCTTAATCTAAAAAATCTCAAATTTCCTTTGTGTAATCTCTAAAATCTCCAAAATGCTTTTCAAACGTTTTTTTCCGTAAAACTTTATATATTATGTTTTTTCTCTACCCTATCTCTATTTGACCAACACTATAACCACCAAAAAAAAATTTAAATAAATCTAAATTACCTTTTTTTTCTTTTGGGAATGACTTCAAGTTGTAACATGAAACCACACTCGTTTATTCTAAGTAACTTTAAGCTCGTAACATTATACATCTATTTATAATTAAATTTTATTGTTTTATTGCCCTTTGAACCATGGGTAACTACTATTTGTTCCATTATAAGTTATAAATCACTCGGGGAGCATGCAGCTCACATTACGCTATCGAATTACTTTACACATGAGCCACTACAAGCTGCTTGCGTGTGTGCCTCGTGAAACATTTTTATTATTTATTTTACCTAATTTAATCTTAACTAATCTAAAAAAAACTTATTTTTACTTTTAATTACTTTATAAGAATAAAGAAAGAATAAACATGATATACTTACTCCATCTTCTTTTTTTCAAACTGTTGACGACATTTAACCCTACATTTTTTTATACTAATGGTAGTAATGAACTAAATAATTTTTATTTATTTCAATAATGCACAAAAGAACATAGACTAATAAAGTGCAAAAAGTAGACAATTTCCCCTAACTCTAAAAACTTTTCTGGCTTTCTAAGCATGCAACAAGAGCCATTACAAATTCATCCACAGGAACGAATCTTGTGCTCTGAGTGAAATTGGTGATATTTTGTTCAGAACACAATGTTATAAAATACATCATTTGATAGATGAAAACCTTAATTTTCTACTGGTTATAGGTAATACATAATTAAACATAAGAGAAAACTATTAACAAATCCTGAAAGAGAGGATGTGACAGGTGGGTGTGGTAGGAGGGGTCTGATTTTCTATTTGGTAGCTCTGTGACCAAACATAATTGAAGGCTATAAAAATTATGGTTTGTCAGAGCAATGACGATTTTATAGGGAATAATATACATTTAATTTCGTACTTTTTGAAGGGGTGGTGGATAAAACAGAGAAGAGAAATATACCTAGAGAAAAAGTGTTGTATGTCATCCTAGACGAAATTCAGGATTTTTTTTATATATTGCCTTATAGAAGTAAGAACGTAAAACATATGCTATAGTAATTGATATATCTTTAAAAAAAGTACTTTAATAAAATTTTGAATGTAAGACACTAAAACTTTGTGTCATTTAGAGTAAAGGATACCTATGGCAATAGGGTTAATGATAAAAGTATCAAACAGTTTGTTCTGATTTTTAGTTCATAATCAAAATGATATAATATTCAATTTGGCTTACCATAACAATTTCGAATGCCATCACTTGCTGGTCGACAAACTGCATTAGGAGGACAAGAGTCATCAGTATCACATACATGGGGTGGGATGGCTATAACAACATATACCAATGTTTGAATACAAATTGACAAGTTTTAAAGATAAAGATCTTTATAGTAAAATTAATTTTAAAAGTCACTTTTATACATATTCATCAGCTTTCCATTGTAGTAAACAATATTTCATGTATAACTATTTAGTAAACAATAGTACATTAAACAGAAAATTCAGAATTAAGAAAGATAAAGGTCTTTCTAAAAGTTTAGTCTTAGTAATCACACTTGAAACTCAACTTTCTTGTAAGGGCATAAAAAAAAATATTTTCTCAATTAGTTCCAAAATCATTTTGTACACTAACATTTTTTTAAACATTCATTACCATATAAAAATTATTCTCAATAAATTTCATATGAGCAAGGATTCTATTTCAATACTTTTTAGATGATTTTTATAAAGTAATGGTATTAGATAACTCTTACGAACAGTGTCACTTATAAGAAATGTTGATATTGAATAAATACTGTAACTTAAAACAACTAAAATAATAAGAACAAATAGTTTAGAGTTTACTACAATACAGCATACCTGGAGTGCACCAAACATATTTATAAAGGAGATGACGTTTCCTTCTTCACTCATAATTATCAATAGATAGTTGTACTTTAATTCATTGAATATGGATATAGAATAAAAGCATAGTTAGATTCTTTGAACGTATATTCAAAGGAAAGTTTTCGGGAAAACATGCCTATAAGCAAATCTCAAAACCATAAAAAAACTACCTAATAAAATTTCTGAATTCTAGAAACCAAGCACTTTCCATATACAGATTTTGTATTTTCAAATTTTCTCACCACGTTCTGTTCATATAATTTTTTTAAATACATTCATTCTTGGATACTAACTGGTACTTAAACTTACAAGAACAGCCAGTATCTTGATCATAGGGGTTTCCGGTATATCCAGGTTGACAGGTGCACTGTGCCCTATGATTGGAAGCTGTACATACAGTGTTGGGGCCACACAGCATTCCCAAACATGCAGCTACAATAAGGTAAAAATAGAAAACTTAGTCACCTGACATGAAATTCAGTAAACAAAAAAACCAGCACATTATAAGTACATCTTTAAGTTAATGAGGAAAATAAAACCTACGAAATGTTGAAATTCACATTTTATATTTTTTTAATATATGAAATTAGATTGGTTAATCACATAACACATTTAAAAACTGACATTAGTAACAAAATTGGACCAATAAAAGCTTTCAATTATGTCTTTTCAACAAATCTTTTTTTTTAAATAAAAATGTATTTAAACAGATCAAATCACATAATAACAACATATAAATGTTGAACATAATATGCAAAAATTTGGAAACTTCAACTTACGTATGCAATCTTTAATTCCATTTTCATTAAGTTTGCAAATGTCTTTGTCTGGACATTGTCCATTAGTTTTGCACTTGTCAAGAGCTAAAAGTAAATATACAAATCTTGAAAACCTCAAAAGTTCATTATATTCAACTAACTTTTTTAACAGAAATTGATTGTACTTACAAAATATTTATAAAACATACAAATGCTTAAGTATAACTGATAGTTACTTACAAATAGTAATATTATGAATAACAGATATACAAAATACATCAGCATTGCTAGACATTTGTAGTATGCAAATACTAATTACTTTATTCTCCTATGATATATATTTCTTATCTATAAATGTTTCAATTTTTCTAAGTTATGACTTGAAATGTCCTAAATCCAGTTGAACTCATGTGTTAAATTCAGCTATTCAGCTTGAGGTGCAAATATTTTTAGCTTGAATGGCCAAGAAATATATCTGTTGTTTCATGGAACAGATGCATAGTGTCCTATCTGTCTTGTGTATAGAGAATACCTTGCAACTGTCATCTGAAACAGACATTTCTATGTTCTGGTGAACAACTACAGAAAGAATGTGTATTATGAATGTATTTTTGGTACTTTAACATGAAATTCTATCTAATTTTTGAGGAAGAAACACTAATGAAGACTAGTTCTTGTTTTACTATACTGTTACCAACCTACTAATTATACACATTTTACTTTAATTTCATTTTACTTTCAAGCTAAACTTGTTTTAATTCGTTTTTCAGTTTAAATACAATTTGGGCTATATTTAAAAAATTCTTTGTTTGCACTAGTTCAACCTATTCCTTCAACGTTGTGTTGACTGGTAGGGAACATTTCGTTTTTTCACACAAATTAAAATTTAAATGTTATTTCTTTCTGTTTGATTTCCTTGTAAACTAATTGACACAGTTTTGTAAGTTTTGAGCATGACAGCATTGACTGTGCATGCAGTTCTGTTGTAAAAAAATTATCTAGTTTTATTCAATATTCAGTGAAAAACACATAAATCAAGATTTCATTAAATACAAAATACATACTAAACTTATTAAATGTATCTTATTAATAAATAATTGTTTAGGATTTTGTATTTTGAAATAGTACACAGAATATTTATACAATTGGAAATTTTATACATATACAATTTTGATATCAACAAACGTCTTTCTTAAAAAATCCTCCTAAACTTGAGATGTTTTATGAAAACTGGTTATTATAATACATTTGTAATTATACAATGCTTTAGGTGGAACATTCTGTCCCTCTTACTTCATAGTCTCCCAAGTCAGCATGCTAGCTAGTCTTTAATAAGGAGAAAGGTAAGTGGATTTGGACATTATAAAACATTAAACAGTATGAGTGACTAAAATCAATTCATATCTTATGCAGACAGTGCAGTTGGAACTCTCGTTCTTTGTCGTTAATGTCATTGAAAACTTCTTCCAATGTATTATCTTAGAGATGTTGAGATATATATTAATATAAAGTGAAAAGATTATTCTCCAAACACAGTTTTCATTTCAAGCATCCATGCTACTACTGAAAATGTGATATCAGGTGAATGACGTTCATACAAAGTGACTAAAAACTTGAAATACACCAAAAAGACAGGCTGAAAAAAAATATGGAAAACATACAAGCTTAAAAAAAATTTAGATGGACCAATTCTGTGATACTACAAACTTAATATTATTTTTGTCCTTGTTTTATTTTTCTTCTTTACAATGCAGTATTCATCACAGTCATGTCCAACTACTCTCCTGTTCTTTGTCTTAATAAAGACAATTTTATTCAGACTTATAGTTGATTCTTGTTTCTTTCATATCGCCTATCCTTCTGCATATTAAATCCATGAACCTTTTATTTTTGTGGAAGTCAAGTGACAATGAGTTACGTTTATCCTTGAATTACCACAATTTGTTTTACAAAGCAAACAGCCACTTCCAAATACCTTCTTTTAATCTGTTAAAACACTTTTATGAAAGTAAGCAACATCTTGATTAAGGCATTAAAACAGTATCAAGCCATAATACTTGAATATGGCTGTAATTTTTCATTAAACACATAACTAAAAAGTAACTACACATTTATTAGTAACTTTACTTAAGAACAGACATGTAAGTTTCATCTGAGAATCAACACAGTTATAAAAGTGAGCAATACTTTGATTTCATTATATGCTAAGCATGCAATGAATAGAATCACAACAGAATGGAATAGCTACACTTTTGTGTACATATATATACTCTCCGTATACTTTGGTAATTAAAAAAATTCAACTCAATTAATTATTACTAAACGCAGAACATATATATACATAAACTACATCAACATATCGTGTTCATGTAGGAATTACTTAAGTAGGCAAAAATAGCACCATTCTTAATATGGCCATAAAGATATTATAAAGAAAGAAAAATTGTATCATAAAAAATGACCATACAAAAAATATACGAAAATAGTGTTTTTATACTGAAAAAATTCTGAAAATTAGAAAAGGACTAAATATATGATCATGTAAAGTTCTTATCACATCATGTTTTCACTCTCGTTAGCATTTCAGTTTTTTATTGTTTGCCTAGTTTAATGTCCTGAGAGTTAATAATACAGGAGGTCTAAAGACTTTTTGTATGTATATTTATGGCTATAAAGTGACTTTACAGTCACAAAACCAATTCATTTTCACCATCTTCTTGTAACATTCCTGAAGTATGCATATAAAACTTTTCACTGCAAGAAATAGAGTGAAGGTTGTTTCTTCATATAATGCCCTTCTTTAATTACTGTGGTTCATTTTTACACAAACACACACACACACACACACATATATATATATATATATACACACACACACACACACACTACT